ATGATGCACGATCCTCGCAGTAGAGAGCGCTATTTATGCAATAGCGAAAATTAGACCTGAAAAAAATCAGGCCTGTACGGGATTCGAACCACTAACCTCAGATATTCATTGTATCTGATTTATCATCAAGGGTTTATTACGAATCAACTTATCGGCCTGCTCCCAGTTGGCTTGTTAGCTCAATTGGTAGAGCGCTGCACTAGTATCGCAGAGGTCACTGGTTCGAATCCCGTATAGGCCTGAATTTTTTCGGTTCTGATTTTCACTTTTGCTTAAATAGTGCTCTTTACTGCGAGGATCGTGCACAATTACGTTTCTATAACCGCAGTTCAGATATATGAATTTCATCTATTCGTTGTGGTTATATTTTATTTGGTCGTTCTTCTGTGTACAACGAGTATATATTCGATTACAATGTAAAAAAATCATATTATTAATTGGAAGAAAAGGTGCCCTTGAACTGCAGAAAAATTTTCAAACTCAGTCACCACTTCTGAAGGTCACGCTAATTCGAACTAGTTTGACCACAGAAAGTTTGATCTAAGAAAATATTCTAATAGAAAAGCTTCAGAACCAACGTGTTGCTTAAAAATTATACTGTTTTTGATTAAACGCTACAAGAAAAAGGATTTAGAACACTCCCTTTTTCCGTAATTAGGACTAATGTACTGTAGTCAAAGTATGGTCGTTTTGGAGTGTCATGACACGTCAAAACTGTACTAGCGTGACGTTTGTTTGTGCGAGGCCTACTTTCGCCCCCATAATCATTGATTTGGTCTGAGTTAATGACCGGTTTGTCAATACACTGCATCCGTTTTTTTTCAGCTGCCGAGAAAGGACCTACTGACGCATCACACAACTCGACGTTACTCATTATAATTGGTGATGACTTCTCTTCTTCTGTATAAAAATCTGTTGCCTTCCCTTCGTTAAAAACGTCCTTCATGTCGCTTGCAGAATACGGATACAAGGTGTATATCAAGGGATTGAACTGCAGTAAGGCCTGAATCCTGGGGGAGTTACGGCATTCTGCTGCTGGTGCTGAAATTTCGCAATTGTTTGAAGCTAACTTATGTATCTTGTGTGCTCCTTCAGTAGTCAAGAGATTGCTATTCGCATCAGTTAAGAATCTTGCTGTCTCCAGATTTCCAATGTTAACTGATCTAACAGGCTGCATTGTCGATTGTTTAGCGAACGGTTTATTTATGATTATCCTAGCTGTCACTAGTCTCTCCGCTTTCTTCGATAAATATTGCTGATGGTTTTCTTTAGAGACTTTAACATCCTGTTCGTTGTCCTCATCCGGGCTGTTGCTCTCTAAGTCTATCTGAGCATGTCCAGAGAAAATACAACCTCCTTCAGCCTCTTCCAAAAGTGACTCAGCATCTTCCGCATTAGCTACTACTTCATGCCTTTCAGTTGCGATGTTCAGTGGGCTAGTGTGCCGAGGTTGTTCGATGTGAAAAGACTCACTAAGTATAATTCTGTCCTTTAACTTTGCACTGTTGAGGCATTCACAATGTCGCCTGCCATCAATTTCGGATGAATTTTCTATCGAAAGTTTCCCAATCAGTTCAGTAAGTACGTCCAGCTCGTTTTCTAGAATCTTACCCATCACCATTCGCGCTGTAGTCGAGTCATTCATTATACCAGAATTCGAATTTTCTTCTAAATTCCATAATTTTTCCTCATCTGAAGAAGGCATTTTCATTTTGTAGGGAGCTTTTTCTTCTTTGGTTAAATCTTCTAAAGAGCTGACGTCCTTTCCATCAGAATGGCTATACTTATTGTTCCTTTTCACAGAAGGGCTGTTTGGTGAAGGAATCACATAACATACTTCCGCGTGGTATTCGGCTTGTCTCGAAATAGTCGACAGACCACGAAGTTGTGCTTTAAAGTCTTGAAAATGTTTGGAAGCAAAAGAAAACACTTCGTTTTGCTTTCGTTTTTCTTCACCACTGTCTACAAGTACGGTTTCAACAGCAAAGCCTGAGTGAGCATCAACAGAAGAGTTCTCAACCTTTGTATCATTCGAAGAGCCATTCGATTGGTGACTTGAGGCGACAGATGGAAGTGTTACGGGTAAATGGGTGCCATTAGCATTTATTGTTAAGTTCCAGGTTACGTCTTCGTTGACTGCCATAAAGTAAGGCTTTTGTATCAGAGACCTGCGTCCTGATAAGCTCTTAATCGGTGGGCCTGCATTAATAGATTTGGCTCGTGAAGGGTGCACCTTATATGCATCTACGGAATTCCGAAAACGAAGAGAACCATAATTAGATATGTTCAGGCTGTTGGCTGGATTACCGTTCAGAGATAAAGGTCTAGATGCGGCAGCTAAATTATGGACGGGTTTCTCGGGTACAAAACCAGTCTTGCCAATATCAACTGGATAAGGCGTAACCTTGTTCTCTATCTTGTATTTCTCTTCAGAGTGACCTAAAGCTTTCGTTTTATCTAAATAATGAGTCGTAGAAATGCTACGCCTCAGCATTGCAAGGCCATTAGTTGAGATGTGCCTTATTTTAGGGGTCCTTGGCGATTCCTTTTTCTGGTCAGTTATTGAAAGTGTCGCGAAATTGGAACGCATCATGGAAAAGCAGCAAAATTTGCAACTTGTGTTTAGTTGCCATCGTCGTTCATATTTCTGCAGCCATCCTGAAGTATGGGGTTCGGAAAGTTCGTTTCTGGGCATCGTGGCATACGCTTTCTTTGTTTGTAATGATTTCCTTCTCCATTTAGGTGTAAAAGAAATCGCAGAATGACTAATGTTGTTGTTTCGAATGCTGCGATCCCCCTCGCCATTTACGTGATACACTCGTGTTTGAGAGTATGCTGCCGTAGATTCTTCATTCCCGAAGGTCCAAATGTCACCACTTGTAAATTTTAGCTCTTGAACGGGTGGTCGGAGTCCTGAACAATTTAGATTCCGATAACTTTTGTTTTTCCTTCCTTTTCCTTGTGTTAATTCTGAAATCCTCACCTGGTTCGTCATCCTGTACATTGCTGTTTATAGCTAACTAAAATCCTACGTGATGAGTCCACATCGTCTGTTATTGTTATAATTTGCAGCTTTAAGCGTTGGCTGGCGTCCACATTATTGCGGAAGCTTTCCGTATAGTAGTTGGCACACCACCAACTTGAAAGCGATTAAAACACGCAGTGAAGTCCAGTGACAATAACATCAATAACACATCGAATAAGAGCACGAACATTTTTAAAAGTTCACGTAGTTTGGACATTTTTTTCTTTTTCTGGTTTTCAAACTCATTTGCTTTCGAATATCAATTCACCATTTAGCTCAAGAAGTGTTTGTGACGCATTACGTTAGATCATTTAAATGCTTTTAATGAGCGCGCACTTATCATGATGAGCATTCTATCGCATTAAAGACAATTTACAATGCAGGTCCATTTGCTAAATTCAGCCGATGTTTCACTAAGCGCGTTTTGTAGTAAGGGATCACAAATACCAAATACCTAACTAACTACACAAAAAGAATCATCATCTATTTCCACTAGCAAACTCACTTCGTAAGAATCAGTGCATACAACTTGGTTCGAACTTGCCGAACAAAACTATTTCCAGTACATAATTCGCGCCTGGTCATTACTTTTATCTACCAACGGTGAGTTCAAACCCTGAGAACTTGTTTGTATGAAAAAAAAAACGTGGACTTCATAGTTAAATACAAGCCGAGATCAGTGAAAATGACCCAAAAACTACGGTACAAGTTCTAGTTCAAGAGAAATCAAATGAAGTGAAACTTTGAGCTTAGGCCCTTCAATCAAACGGCTATTAGGTTGGTACAGAGTTGGCTAAATACTGACTTAAAGTGAAGCTAAATACAAAACGCGCAAAAGTATAACTCCCCAAAAATGTGAAAAACATTCCCGTGCATCAAGAGGAAATCACTGCATAGGATGGACAAAATGAAAGATGATATAAAAGTCCTTTTGCAGACAGTTCCTTCAGCTTAATCTTTAGAAAGGAGTAAAAATTTTGCTAAATCTCCACCACGGTTCCTTCATCATCGTTTATGGCGGCCACGCTAGCTGATCTCCTTGTGTTTTCAAACATAGAACCTACGTCAATCGGGTTTTTTCCTTTGTCATCTTCATCGTTAGCTTCCTCGTTATCACAGAATCTCTTCATCTCATGTTCATCAAGCTGATAGCTTCCATCTGCTTCTTCACTGATCACAACAATATCAGGAAAATTTTTCCTGGCTGTTCGTTTTTCTCCTTTTCTGTCTTCTGTCCCGCGCAAATCGAACCTCACTCTCCGAACTGTGTTCGTTGCTCTTCTTAACTGACAAGGCGTATCCTCGCCTAATTCACAAACCATCTGACGTTCCATGGGCTTCTCTTCGCTCCTCTCATGGCCCTGACTGCGATCAAATCCTTCATTGCCATGGCTCGCCATGTTTTCTACAATCGTTGAGGTGTCTCTTGCAAAATTGTCTACTACGTCATGGCTTCCATCAATTTCACTGCTGTTCGAGTGGTGATTAGGGGCGAATTCATAATGATTTAAAGAAACAGCTCCTCTTCTCTGCTAAAATAATGTATTGATAATTATTACAAAAATAGGAATTTGTACTGAGATCAATCTTAAACCTTTGTCATCAAAATCAAATTCGATAGAAGAGAACTTGAGAAAATCGATGGAGAGCCGAGGACAGAAACGGTGTGTTGTGACGCAACCATCGACATCAGAACATAACTAGGACTTTCATCTACTGTCGAAACCGGCTCTTTAAATTGTTCGCTTATCGGCCGCGGTGTTTTTTGACAGTAACCGTAGTATTAATTATTAGAATTTCAGCCGCAGACAAAACTCCGATATTTATATCCTAAAATGCAAAGGCATATACTTAAATGCGATGCTTGAAAACACTTTCCGTCCAACAACAATTTTGACTGTTAAAAGATCCTGAAACAACGGCAACTCAGCCAAACAATTCTAAACCAAAAGTCAATTAGGTTGGCTGCAAAACATTTTTCTATATGAAGGGGAAAAAAAGCATTAATTAAATTGTGTAACTAGAGCATGAAGAAACCCTCTCGTTGTTTGCTTCGTAAAAGGTTTTGATCAAAATTAGTACGTACTCCTAGCTGCTTGCCATAGTTTTAATTTTTGCTATCAAAGTATCCTGTCACCAGTCACAGATACGACTAAGACTCCTATTTCTCCTTAGTCAGGCACTTAACCATGTTGTGATTGTCGTAAGGAGAAACTAAATGTCCATCAGCACACTTTATCATAACAATAGACTTACCTCCTTAAATCTTTTCCTCTGTTGGTTTCTTACTTTGTAGGAACCACTTGATCTCCTGATGAGGACAATATTTTTTAATCAGTGACTACATAAATTTCAGTCAGTCTTTTGTTTTCAGGTAGAGAAAAATTTATACCTGGTTCAGATTTCCATGATATACTGACACAGGCACAGCAGTCTCAAAAGAATCCTTTAGACTTAAATACAAAGAAGAACAACATTACCAAGAAAAGGCTTTCTCCTTTTAAAATCGTGTTTGGCAGAAAAGTTTTGTTATATTTTTACATTGAGTCTCGTATCTATGTAAGAATAATTGTTATGGTTTTATAATAAAATTTTGAAACTCCCTGATGCAACACCAAAACCTAACTTTCGTTTTTGGCGCATTGGGACGTATTGAAGCCCTTCGTTCTACATAAACGAATATTACTTGCTATGTCAAACATGATGAATATCAGTTTTATTAAAAACTCATCACAAACACGCAGTCCCAACACTACAAAATCAAAGGTAAGGCAACGAACATGTGGCTTGAAAACTTGAGGTTTTTACTCCAGCAGATCTACTTACAATGGTGTACGAAGAAGACTGAATTCGCCCTAAGCAAAGAAAGAAATATATGTGGCATTAACTGTATATGGGGGGAAGCCAACCTAAGCAAGAAAAAAAACACTATCATAGAGTCCTTATTTTGTAGAAAAAATAATTTAGAAAAATCAATACTCGATCCTTTAATCCCTAAGAGTGATTATAACATAACCAAAGTAAAGCGCGCGCTCTGATTGGTCAATTTAGCGTCCCATTTGCCCCTGGGTGTACGCTGCTGACGTGAGCAAATGCAAAGACTATTTTTCCGCGCGCGCTTGTTTTTTCTTGTCACGTAAGATTTGTGAAATAAAAGGGAACTCTTTAGCTACAATGTATCAATGTTATGTTATAAAACAAATCATGGTAAACACCACAGCGTACACTATTGAGTTATGGATGCACTTGGGAGGTTTGCTAAGCACTCAAGAAGCTGGAGTCGCTCTCGGCTATCGCCTCGAGCGACTCTTACGCTTCTCTCGTGCTTAGCAACCTCCCGCGTGCATNTAAGTAGTTCTGTTGATAAAGTCATTGTTGTAACGTTCATTTCAGTGGTAGGAGCAAGGTTAGATACTCCGAATTGAACTTACATCGATCAATCAAAATAAATACCAAAAGACAAAACATAACATGAAAAAGAAAAAAAAAACAATATGGACAACATACCTGGTTTGTTGGAACTTTCTGAACCGTATACTTCGTATTGTCTCTACTGAAACAAGAGACAACTAATAAAACTTTGAGTATGGGTGTGGTGCTTTTGATAAGAGAAGAACAGCCTAGAAGTGGTTGACCTTCGATCGCATACACGTCATTGGATTAGTTTATTAGGAAACACTCCGCAGTTACTCACAGAAACGATTCGAAGAGAACGTACTCCACGAAGGGAAATGCTAATTCATCAAGATTTGATCATGATTTGCAAGCTTGAATTACAAATGTGGGAAACTGAGGTCAATAGTCTGGGTAAACATACTGGTAAAGTTGCGGGGTAAGGAAACTATTATTTCGTGGAGTGAAATCAAAGGTAACCTTGGAAAAATAGTAATTTCTTATAAAGTGATTGAAACATATTTACAAAGGTCGTCGAGTTCCATCTGCTTTGGACTCAGAAAATACTCCTGTGCCGGGCATATCCATCAAACTGAAATAAAACGAAACAAACGAGAGTCACAGAATGCAGCATCAACTGATAAGGATTAAGCAAATGGACTCAGAAAGCCCACAAGGGCCGGCTCTCTCTTCTCTCTTTGGATGTGAGTGAAACCATGATATTTTGCAACCAGTTGACGATAAAATTAGACGACTACAAAGAGTCGGAACTTTCACCATTTAAATGGAATTAAAATTGCTCTACAGGAAAAGGCCCAATGCTCTTAGTTATGTTAGGAGAAAGTGAATGAGCAGAGGGGGACGATGAAGGAGTCGGATGGAGACTCCACAAAATCTATTCTTAGTATAGACAGAAAAGGGTGTCCTTTCCTCAGACATCCGCTCTGCAAAATCTCGCTCAAGAAGTAGCCTTTTCCTTTTAATTTGAGAAAACGTTTTCATGGACATAACCAGTCGTTACGCTGTCCACCATTGTTATCAAAATTTACTTTTCCAAGGAAGTACTAGGAAACAGGCTTTTGTTCGTGCGACTATCTACAAATGACTTCAAAATTGTTACATCTGGAAGGACTTCACCGAGGGGCTAGTTACCATTTCGCTCACTCTCTTCTCAATTGGTCATACTTACTACCAAGGCGTCGTAAGTGGATATGGTGATTCACCAGTTGTCTTGTAGGCTCTCTTTTGCCTGCAACATTAGATAAGAAGAGAAGTGGAAAGAAGCAAGAAGCTTATAAATCGAGTGTGACATTAAACTAATGATTCAGAAAAGTTACATTGCCGGTACATCATGTCCTTATCCGTAAACAAGAGTGCAGATGAAGTAATCTCATTTTATTTTTTTTAAAATCCAATCCCAAAGCCTTAAGGTTACTAAGGTGCTACTGATGTATCGTTTAAATGAAAGCGAGGATTGCTCGAACGTTCGTATTCATGCAGACAGGGAGCGTTAAAAAAATGTCAAAATGTTTCGTTCTATTCACAAGCATGTAAAACTTGAAGTTGATTATAACTATCGCTCAATTTGTCAAAACTACGGATGGCAAATAACTGCAACTAGAATGCCCTATTTTTTAAATGTATTTTCAAGTAAACAGCGTGAACGAATAAAATCACCGTGAAAGTCGTAAGCGGTAAGGAAAGAGTTATCGATCGCTGGTTGAGGTCTGTGGCTCAAAAAACGTCTTTGCATAGCTTCAACCAAGCCTCTTCAGGTCTAATCTTACCAGGACGGTCGCAGCACACGACTTGTTATTTCAAACACGTACATACAACTTTTGAAAGCTCACCGTTTCCTCTTTTTCCTGGCTATTAAAATGCTAATGATTGCCCCCACTCCGATACAGCCAGACAGCAACAGCATTACAGCTATCAGGATACTGAACTCCTCCCTTGAGTCCCTGGACGCATCTGCTGTCCCAACAAGAGGAACACGTATATTCCATTTTCGAAAAACATCGTTGATCAGGTCGGTTTTATTTCGCAGGCGACTGAAAATTTAAGTAAAGGAACTGTTTATTTTAGCTAGATTCAACCGCGAAAAGCAGATAACAGTAGATGGAAAAAAAATATGAATTAAAGAACGAAAACGTAGGACATTAATTGATTTTTAACACGAGACAGGTACTTTTTGATTCAACCAAATGGTAAAAAAAATTGTCTCCACGTCTTAGAAGGAAATTAATTACCATCTCAGAAAAAATTGAAAATTTTCATGATAGCAGGATTGCAATATTAATCTTGATAATGATGACCGAAAAGGATAAGATAATGAATGTGAACTGGCTAAATGCATCAAAAACGATCCTCTTTGTGTTCGACAGAAAGAAAGATAAAGGGGATATACGTGTGGTGCTGTGTCGGTGGAGGGTTTTATAAACCGAGTTTATAATGCCAATTGGCCACTTCACTTTTTGGGGTTTCTAAAGCTGAGTTAGCTCTTCGTCAGAGTTAAGGAAAGATAAGTGACAAATGGAAAGTGGACCTCTTTATATCCTTTATGATCGTTTTCTTCAGTTGCTTTACCTCATAAACTCATCCCGAGTTAACAAAGACAGGCTATGGTTATCAATAGCATGAAAATAGATGAGTGTGCTAGAAATGATGAAAACAAGAGAGACTGTTAACAATAGATTCTTAAACTTTATTTCACTTCATTTACATCTAAAATAAAACTTTTTTACTACGAATTTGTGCACGGTACACGAACATTTAAAGTTTGCCTTTTGTCTACCTTGTTTGAAATTCCTAACATTAAACCCCACAGTTTCTGACCATGATAACTGTTTTAAAATTTTAAAATCCAATTTCAAAAGCATTTCAAAATTAGACATTTCCAGATCTGTGCAAACATCTGTAAAAATTTTATGAGGTGTAGCGTTTGACACATTTTTGTTCCCAAATACTTGGATCATTATGTAATGTGCATTTCATCATATTCACAGGTTGCTTTGTGCAATACAAGCCCTAAATTAATATGATTATTATTATTATTATTATTATCATTATTATTAAATCATCATTATAATCATTATTGTTTTCATTTTTATCTTAGAAAAAAAAAGCATCAATAACATAGGCCCATCTAAAGTTTCCGCCTGGATTTTCACGGCATTTCAGCTCATTCGTGTTAATATTTATTGCCAGAAATATCATCAGTTATAGCTAATTAAATTGTGAAAACCTTGTTGGCTCTTTGTCTGTTTTCATGACCACTCACCTTCCATCCTCAGTCCCTGTGATGTTTTTCATCATCACGGTCCCTCCAGTGAGATTGCGCAGCATACTAGAGATAAAAAAAAAAGAAGCAAAAAGAGCGATTTTATTACCTCAGAATACAGCATATTTGCTCAAGATACATGACTAGCTTAATCCTTGAGGTCAGCCTTCGTTTATCAGCGAGAAAAAGCTGTGAAAGATATTTCAGTCGTTTTCTTACAGCTTAGTAGGGCGACAGCGTTGCTTTCGGGCAAGGGTGTTTTTCATGTTGAGCATCGCGACGATAGCTAGAATTAAATCAATCACAGCAACCGTTTACAACGCATATGGAAAATACAAAGAAAATAAGACGGAGAAATGACCAAAGATAAACGACAAAAATTACGGGAAAACGCGTATGATTGATTCCTGATCTGTATGATGGAGTATGGCAACACAAAGAGAAATCATTCTCGATGAATCATCGTTGATTCGGGAGGTAGGCAAAGCAGTACAAATAAGAGAACAAACAACAAACCTTTTAATTTCGCTTCTCTTTTCTCGGACAAATACAGAAGGAACACCAAGCTCAAGTGACAGCTTTTTTGAATCAGAGAGGACAAAAATCTGAGGGAGAAGATTGTTAACAAATTGTAGTGGTTGTAGACATATCGTTAGCTATTTGAAACGTAGAGATGGCAACATCTGTCCAACACTCACAAACTTACAAGAACAGATGCATTTTCATTTGCCCTGTTGCTTGGTACTTTTCCTTGGTTGTCCACGGCAGAAACGGTCAGAACATAAAGTAACTTCCCAGTGACCTGGTCCGAGAGATTGGAAAGTACTACGTCACCAGTGGTATTGTCCAATAAGAACAATCCAGGTGTCTCTTCATGTACGATAGAGTACCGAACAGAACCATAAGCGCCGAAATCTTTGTCTGATGCCTATAAAGGAAAGCACAGGTTTTTATCCAAAGGAAAACACTAATGGACCTCATGGAATTCTTATATAATAAACTGAAATTTCAAAGCGTAAGTCTTGCGGCAATTTAAAGTCGAGCACAACAGCAAACGAACTGATCACACATTTTTTACCTGGATGGTTACCACGTTCGTGTTCCTTGTGGCTTCACCTTCGTAAAAACCTGAAAAATATTCGAAAAGAAAGGTAACATCATAAGGATAACATTGAGACTTCAAATAACAGAGAAACAGATCTAATCATTGAGCTGGATTTTGTTTCTTTTTTAAGATAAGTTCGACTCAGTGACTGTGCACTGAATATCGTATGTTCCTTTTTATGTATTCTTGGACAAAGAGATGAATTAAAAACTGACGAGGTTTATGAAAAGTTCCTTCAAAGGGGGAGAGAGGAAAACCCGCTTTGGAACGGTTTAAGTCAAAGGTCTGTCAGCATAAATATTTATTCAATATCTAACTCCACGAATCATGTTACATGCCTCCGATGAATTGTGATTGGATGAACGCAGGAGGGTTGTTGTTCTCATCCTGAATCTCAATTGTGGCTGAAACCTCGTCGAAAGCTACAGCTCCGTCTGAAATGGAAATATCAGTTATGGGATGAGAATTGATACGCAAAGGCTCAGCGAGAAGCACATAAATCACCGCAGACATAAAGCAAGTAGTATGAAAAGAGGCGTGTTTAATTGGTTTAGTCACCTCTTCGTTTCCTGTTACCCAGTCCTACAGGTGAATTAAGTGCTCGTATCAGCAATTGGACGGATGAAGCCGCTTCATTTCCCAAACCCTGCTTGACATAAACTGTTCCGTGATACTCACTGATATTGAAAAGACCTATTACGAATAAGCAAAAAGAACAAAACTAGCTATGGATGAGAGACATAAGGAAAACAGCTGTAAATGTATGATGACAAAAGCTTACAAAATGGATAAAGAAAGTACGAGGGTTGTTGCGCACCTTTCTCGTTGCCGCTTGCAATTTCATAAAACACATCTGACTGATGTTCTCCGTCGATGTCCACGGCTTTTACTTGTCCTACTAAGTCACCGACTCTAGACAACTCGCCAGAAGAGAACCTAAACGTTTGACCGGTAAAGCATTTTTAGCTTTATAGAACATGAATTATCAGAGACAACTTTGTAGAATTTAGCGTCTACAGCCTTGGACAGAACGATTGACTGTCAATCCGGGACAAGTGTCCAACCTGACAGATTGGGAGAGGTCACATTTCCCTGAACCCTTGCGGGCACTTGCCCCGAAGACAACTAAATCGTGTAGTTGGTTTACATTTGCCATGCGTCCTACATACTGACAGTGTTGACATCCTTACGGATTAGTTTCCTAATGTACGTGGGAAGGATCATGAGCTTTTCCATCGAAATTACAGTGAAAATAAAAGCTTACCGGTAGGAGCGCTGGAGGAACCGAGGCTTGTTATCATCCTCATCACTGATGTTTATAAACACGGGCACCGCGCTTGACACCACTTGAAGCACAGGATCTGGATTTAACAGTTTTGCCTCGACCATCAGCTGCAACGAATGTATTAAAGATGCGTTAGAAAGTGTAAGATGTTGTACTAGGAGGTAGCGTGGTTAACTGAGTGAGTCTTCTCCTATGAGTTAGAGTCTTAACCTTCTCGTCTTCTATAAAAGTTATTTATTTCATAATTTTATCGGTCCTCTTTAGCGTTTGTGCTATAGACACTGCTGAGGGTAAATAAATCCGATTTTAACCATGAAAAGGAATTTATCCAGTCTCAGAAATACAAACCGGTTCAAAAGAGGAGACTTTTCCTGATCAATGTAAAGGCTCCTACAAGGAACAAGTGCGTTTAAATTTTCTAGGCACTCACAGAGTAGTTAGCGGTTATTTCTCGATCCAGTTCTCCCTGAGTGGTGATGAGTCCTCTCTCAGGCTCTATCGTAAACTTCCTTGAGCCCGCGCTACTTTGGTCATGTAAGACTTTGAACACAAAATATGCAGTAGCCTAGAAAAGGATATATGAATATAATATGAAGGACAACAGTGATATTTTTTGCCTAATTATATCATTCTTTCATTTATTCTGGCCAGTTTGAATCCTATGTTGTTCTTTTTTCTTCCCGTTCCTACTTTCGATCGGCTGCATTATTTTTCAGTTTGTTTCTTTCCTTCACTTGAACTTTCGAACGCTCATTATCCATTTACGCAATCGCTTACTCATTCGTTAGTCTATCAATTAGTCTGCAATTCTTCCGTTCTTCCTTTTTCTCTCAGTTGTATCGCGATCGTTCGTCCCCTTATCTTTTCTTTAATTCAATCTCATATCCTATCATTCATATATTGGTTTCTTATTGACTTTCGGTCCTTTTATTTTCTCGTTTTCTTGTCGGTTACAGAGCTCGTTCTGGTTATGAATGGCCTAGCTACACAAAGTTTCAGACACTTGCTCTTTTAACACAATGCACTCAGTCGTACAAAATACCTGTACGTTATTAGTAATATTGATTTGAATCACAGGTGTTCCGACTGTAGCAGCCTCTGATATCTCCGCATGATATTCACTAGCGGTAAACTGTGGTGTTTTTCTACTCAAGCCATACACAATCACTTGGACTTTCATCGTTGACCACAACTTGGGAGATGCTAAGGAGTTCTCAGCGATTATAGTCAAGTTGTAGATTTGGTTTTCAACTCGTTTCTGTGAGAAGTAAAGAGGTTTAGAGTAGATTAAACCTTATTACTTGCCCCTCATCTTCTTTCATTTCAATAATTGCTGACAACCGAAGGACTTTAGTGCGATTATGCTTGGAGATTTGATTCTCATTCTCTGGCTGTGTGCAACGCTTTGATCAAACTAGAAACATTTAGGTTAGCCTGCAATCAATAGAACGTCAAAAGATTGGGTTGAGAGGCTTTTTAATCGAGGGATCACCCTCCCCCTGTGGGAAGGATGTCGGAAGATTTTGGTCGTATCACACCAAAATTTACCTAATCCCTGATTATTGGCAGTCAATCTTCTATTTTCCCCCTTTAATACCCTGTCAGTTTATATTCTCTTGTACTCGATCTGTCAGCGAAGTCTGTCACTACCTAAGTTGCCCCTGAAAACCAGCGAGCTCCCAAAAGAATTCCGAAACCCCCTCCCCACCCCACCCCCAAGGAAAAATAATGACTGGTTCTTAAGACATCAGATTAAACTAATTTTCACGAAATTGGAAGATTATCGGAGATGGTGAATTTATGTCAAGGGGGGAGGGGAGAGGGGAGGAAGTGTCTATCTCAGGTTGAGCAATAATAGCTGTTTGGTCAATGTTATGCAACGCTGATCCTTTCAGATTGTAGTCACAAGGAGTCTTGTCTGAGAGGCTAATGCCATCATTTACGAATAAAGTCATAAAGAAAATTTTTTTTCAGAGGGCTGTGTACTGAGCTCGAACGCTGGATTATTAGTCACTGGAAAGGAGGCTCAACACTTACCAGTTGTTGCTTTGCATAAATAATCCCAGTATGATTTTCAATAGAAAAGACTTTTGATCCATTACCTGAGAAAAAAATCAATGTGTGAACAATTTAGTATATCCGTTAAGAAACGTTGGAGTGAAAAAAAGTAGGCGAACAGACTTCTCAAAAAGGTCGTTTTACGCCAAGTCTCAAAGGCATATCAATCATCCAGTACTTGTACCTTCAATGTGATAAGATATCTTAGAGTTGACACTGCTGTCTCTGTCAAAGGCTGTCACTCTGCCAATCTCAGTGTTGGCAGGAGTCAAATCTTGCACTCGGAAAACAGTGGATTCCTATTCAGAGAAAAAAGCCAAAAATATATGCACATATGGCAAACAAATTCAACTCAAAACAAAGTAGACTTTTAAAAAAAATCATTTTCCGGCCCACAAACAAAACATGCGACCCATTTGGTAGAGTTAAAGAGGTGAGTAAAGTAAGCGCCACGTGCGTCCACAGTATATTGACCACTGTGATGACGAATATCTTTATCGATAAGAGTAGAGTCCACGCTAAACCTCTGTCGATTTGTTAAATTGAGTCAGAGCATCTCGCCCGAGTGAGCTTATCGAGAACACTAGAGTTTAACATGGAACCTATAACAATTTTCAGTGTATTACAATCTGATGGACCAATATGGGACTCTAAAAAAGGAGAGTGGAGATATTCGATTGGTAAATTTTTCATGCGAAGGCTTCAGTGAGAACATTGACTGGCATTATAAGTCGAGGGAGCGACTCACGGTGAGGCACTATTTGTCGATTGATTTAAGCCAAGGGCAACTTCGGCTTGCTTTCGAGTCTCACTGTCGAGGAAGCTCCTGAAATATCCTCGCTGACACTCACTGTTTATTGATTAGGTGGAACCCAAAAGCAATTTACTTAACGAACAATCTTTCTGTTTCTAATATATGTCTGCCGGTTAACAATACATAGTGAATTCACTTCATTCGCATCTTTCGCTCCGACGAAGGGCTAACGCTCGAAACGTCAGCTTTTGTAACCGTTACGGTGGCCAATTTACCATTTCAACTTTGTTGACAAATCCAAATTATAAAGTGGATCCGTCCGAGTTTAAACTAGAATTCCAGAGTTCAATCCATGAACGTAACGAAAACATACACACCAAGACTCCGACTTCAGTAAAATCACTTTATGTGATCACGTGACTAACAAGCAACAAGTCAATGTCTACTATGGGGGGTCCCCAGAATTCCACGCATAATGTCGCCATACTAAGATCAAGTGACTCTAGAGTAAGAAGTGCAACTGCTTCTTATCCAGACAGATAGACTTTGTTTTAAAAAAAAATACAAACTAAGGTAACCATCGAAGAAAGTGAAGTGTAAAAGAAAGAATCTCAAGTCCGAAAAAAGGGGAACGAATACAAACCGTTGTGTTGTATGCGATGCAAGCCAGAAGATTTTTAAGTTCTTTCACATCAGGTTGCACGTTGAAGAATTTTGGTGCATTATCATTGATATCAATAACATTGATTGACACTTGTACCGCTGTCCTTCGTGACTGCGGGAGCCCTTGATCTTCAGCTTGCACAACCAATATGTGAGAACGAGAGACTTCATAATCCAGCGCTTTGCTCGTGAAAATTTCTCCCGTCGAAGAGTTTATCCTGAAACTAATTAATCAAACGGCATTTTGAGTAGGTATCATCGTTACTCACTTCTTCTACACAGTGTTTTCAGAAGTGCTGTATTTTCTTTAGAAGGATCAAATGGCATAAACTTTCGATGATAAATATCTTTGTTTAACAGCACTCAAGTATACCTTTTGGACGATGGTGTATTCATCAATGAATAGATTATTTGAGCATTTCTTCCTATGTCACTGTCGTTTGCCTAAATAAAATAATAAAAGGTGGAATTTAAGATTTTTGAAACTGACCATAAGAATGATCGCTGCATTTATCCAGATCTGTCAATCCATGAAAAAGTCAAATTCTTTTACAAAGAATTATTTCTCCAGAGCAGTTACTTTACCTTGATATTTCCCACAGTCAGTCCAGAGGTCTCCTCTATCACAGAAAACTGGTGGCCATCCAGTGAGGTGAATTGGGGTGAGTTGTCATTGACGTCACCCACCAAAACTGTGACATTAACAGCAGTGCTCTAAGATGCATTTAGTTTGAGTTAGTATTGTTGGTCAAAGTCCGGATAACGCTAAGAGTTGATGGGAAGATAACAGCACTTGTTTGTCACTGACGTCACCCATCAAAACCATGACGTTAACAGCGGTGCTTTGAGATGCATTTAGTTTGAGTTAGTATTGTTCATCATAAATGAATAAAGGCTGATAGTTTCTAAAGTAACTGTTTGGGGCTACGTCGGTGGGGGTAACGAAACGTGGGTCGGTGGGGGTAACGAAACGCTCGAAACGTCAGCTTTTGTCATCGTTAAGGTGGCCAATTTACCATTTCAACTTTGTTGATATATCCAAATTATATTGTTGATCATAGTCTGGATTAAGCTAATAGTTGAAGGGATGATAACAGCACCTACCTTATTCCCGCCATCCTTTGCTTGTACGATCAGATGGTAAACTTCCACTTTTTCTCTATCAAGCTCTTTCGCAACACTTAAAGAACCGCTAAAAAAGAATGTGATAAAAATTAATGAACCAAACAAGCAGAAAGGAAAGTTCCCTATAGCTTACTAGTAAGTATTTAGGATTGGAAGAATAGTATGGGAAAGAGATTCGTAGTACACTCGTAGTAATATAACGCAAGGACCCTATAATATTGACCCCAAGTTTTGATCTCGGTCAATTTGCGAAAAATGTTTCAGGTAATGGATTGATCTCTTCTACAAACATCACGAATGCAATTTCGTGAGAGAGAGAGAGAGAGAGAGAGAGAGAGAGAGAGATATTAAATTAATCGATAAGATGTAGTCTTCTTTTCAATATTCAATTCCTAAATGTTCGCCGAGTTCATACCTTTCTTGATCAATACTGAAGACAGTTCCTGAATTTCCTTTCAGAAAGAGATACTCTATCGCTGCATTTTTATCCAAATCTTTGTCCGTGGCCTATAGAGGATGGACAGTATATATTTAAAAACGAAACTCCATCGAAGAAATAGGTTAGCTATTAGTATATATAACTAACTGCAGACAGTACTGTCTCGGCCTTCTGGGCCTCATCAGTGAAGTGCTGATGTTAGGATGGGGGATATATAATGGAAAGAAACCGTAAACTTCTGTGTCGAATAAAGATACTAAAATAAATGAAAAACGAAAGTCCTCTTTTTCTTTGCTTTTGCGCAGCGTTTCACCGCTGTTGCGGCTCTTCAGGCATAGTAAAGTGTGTTTATTGACTTTGCTATGCCTGAAGAGCCGCAACAGCGGTGAAACGCGCAGCGCAAAAGCAAAGAAAAAGAGGACTTTCGTTTTCCATTTATTTTAGTGTATATATATATACTTTTTTTTCATTTCGAAAAGGGCATGCATTCCACGATCGATACATTCACACTGTCTGAGTTACATTTTTCCACTTTACAGACCTCCCAAACAGGCAATTAATACACACAGTACAGTGTGTCTATCTCTGGCCTACATGTTTGTGGTGATTTGTCAAACCCAGCGTCATTTATAAAGGGGGTAAGTTTCTAAAGGAACTGTGGTGCTGCGTCGGTAGGATTACTCAAGATAATCTGGTTTTGTTATCTGAGAACAATTTATCTTCTGACCTGAACTGTCAAGAAGGTTGTGTTCACTGCAGCAGAGTCTGTGACAGTGACGGTGTAGAAGGCCTGGCCAAATAGAGGAAAGTTATCATTGATGTCTTCAACGTTGATTTTGACTGGTACCGTGCTCGACCTTCAATCGAATGCAAAAGGCATCTCCCTTAGTAAGAAAATTAAAGTTGAATCGCTAAACGAACCTCTAAGCGTGACTAAGCTTTTTGTCGAAGTGAAAAAGTGGTAAGGTTCACCCATAAAATTCTTTTGGAGTGACATATACTAGAATTACTTTCCTTTCTCCATCAGTAATCAAAGTTGAAAAGATTAAACTTCTGTGCATTGCCGTGCTTTTCTTTCTTTCTAATTTAAAACTATAACGGTCAAATGAACATCCTTATCTAGATCAAGATTACCCATAAGCCATGTTTTTTAGGGTAGTCTATACCAATAGCGTTTTTGTGGAATTGCAACCCTACCCCTTCTCCCTGGGTCTTCTCGTATCCTACAAACCTAGTCTGCGTGTTCAATGCGCTATTTTCCGCCGTCACTGTCAGGTAGTAAATACTGATGTTCTCCCGATCAAGTGGTTTTGTGGTTGTTATTGATCCATTGATAGGATTAATGACAAAATCTAGATAATGATAGTTCAGATCTGGAACAAGACTGTAGACGATTAAAGCATTGAATGAAGAATCGCTGTCATTAGCCAGAATCTGGAGGTTGAAACGGGAAAATAGAGATATGAGTATCGTTGTGCTAATTATACTCATCGGTAACAACAACATAACGGTCCGGAAAAAAACTTTCCACGTTACTCAAGATTGTCTAGATGTAAATCCAAATACAATCCGTTTCAATCTATTTCGCTTTGCGCATTCAAAAATATTTTTACTGTTTCTTTGCTTCGTAAAAGTTCCACTTTCGCTCTAATTTTTAGTTTCACATCCTTAACCATTCTTTCTCCTTCGAGATTCTTTTTTAGTGTTTTTCTATCTGATCGAATTAATGATTTTGTTATTTTTGCATAAAGCGAAAAATATTTCGAAGCGTAACCACACGTCTTGCTCCTCTAAAGGCCAAACTGTAACCAGTTGTTCTGCCCTTCTGTGGTCTCTTTTTCTCTCAGACTTGCTAAATAAACTACTTTTTTAGATACCTGCAGGACATTTGTTCCACTGGGGAGCTCCTCTTGGATTGCTATTTCATAGAACGGTTTCAAGAAGCGTGGACTGTTGTCATTTCTATCTTCCACTGTAACAATCACCGTGGTGTTGCTGCTATACTTTTCGACAGTTTGAAATTCTTTGACGAATACCTGAGTGGTAAAAATGACAGACTGTATGGTCAAAATTTAATGTAGGAAAATTACGAGTAGCTGTGTTGCACTCCGCATTATTTAAATCTATTATCTATACAAAGGTCAATTACACTTTTAAAACAACAAGAACCAGCCTCCAAAAGGGTTCTTATACACTGAGAGAATTTCGCCCTCAGGACGTTTCAGTTAGATATCAAAATAATATCAACCAAAGTTATGAACAAGTTGGATATCGTTGTTAAAACCTCTATGACATAATTTAACAGGGTTCCCTTTTTTTTTTACTCGACTCCATGCTCAGCCGAAGCTAATACACCCTTACTTCACATCAGCTCTTCACTTTGACACAGTAAAACGAAAATCCTGGTTTTCGTCACTTAGCGATCGCATCCATCGCGCACCTTCAGCGAAAATTGTTCAGACGTTTTTGATCCGACACGAGCTATCAATTGATTTCACAAGGAAAAAGTGGGAAGTCTTAGGAAATGCCTCTCTGTTTACCAAGAAGGTATAGCGGTCTTGCTTTTCACGGTTTAGCGACCCATTCACAACAAGGACACCAGTATTTGCAACGAAGGCAAAGGGGGTTCCATCATTCGGCGAAACGTAGGAAAACGCGGCGTTAATTCCCTGGAGAACAAATGAAAATGGGTTATAAAGAAATTTGATATTATCCAGGAGAAATTACAATATTCTAAAAACCGTTTACTGTTGGTTACCTAACTGAGGCAACATAAAGACATAGAAGGAGTCAATTGTTCATCCATTGCATCTCTGACACTTCTTCACATCGTCCCTCTTCCTAACCAGCTTCTGTTGCAGCAATCCTTTTTCTCAGTCTTATTTCCCACACAACGCGCTATAATTAGTTTATTCTGCTGATTATAGAGGGAGGCATCGTGGGAGTAAGGGTCTGCCAAAACTTGCACCACATAAAATAACCCAACTTTTGCTTCAGTTCTAAAGGTTATGAAGAGGTAACTGTGCTCTCCTTCTTCAATTGAAGAATGGTATCGATCCAAAAAAACATGCTATTTTAAGATGTAGAAATCTTCATTTTTACCTCTTGAAACTGCGTAGGAACATTTTTCGAAAAGTTTGGTAAATAAGAGGGTAGAAAATTTTGATTCTTCCGTGAAATTTTAAAAATGTTACTGACTAACTTGGTCAGCATCACTCGCTTTCACTTCACCAACAATGGCACCAATCCCTGCATTCTCTTGAATTGAAAATGAATAATGCTTGGCTGAGAAGACTGGCAAGTTGTCATTTGCATCACCAATCTGGATATCAATTGTGGCATGATCAGGAAGATGATATGTAGAGTAAGCCTGTAGATCAAAAGAGAAAATTCGAAGTTTCAATCCATCGTTTCTACGACAAAATCAGTGAGTAACTTGTGCTCAATCAGTTTACGTCTTTTAAAATCGGAGAGACGCTTTCATCATTTTTCTAAGGAATGCTTGTAAACTATGAATAGGCGAGATAAAAACATAGGGGAAAGTTGTTAAATTCTGTAAAATTCATGCGGTGACGTGAAACAGACTAACAGCATTGGTGATAATGTTTTTGTGTGTGTGTGTGTGTGTGTGTGTGTGTGTGTTTATTGCGAATAGTCTCTACGAGTAACCGCTACACGTTCATTGCTTTCCTTTCCGAAGCAAGTCATTGTATACAATCTTTTCCGTCTTTTTCGGACAAAAATATCTTAGGAATCGAAGTGTTGCGTACTGTAACCAGTCCAAAATGAATATCTTTATAATATCAACCAAACAGAGAATTGAGGAAAGGATAGGTAAATGTAAGAGGGGCGAATGTTCAGCTATGAGGTGTATACACGATGAACTCTACCAGGGCTATGTTTGGTCATTTATTTCGTATAGCCAGTGATCAACCAACGCTTGGTTGCAACGACCAACTGTGGTTGCCTACCAGCACTCTCAGCTTATATTCAGAAACATCTTCTCTGTCCAGCGTTCCATTCAAGGAGATAACACCAGTGGATACATTGATGACAAACAAACTGTGATTATTGGTCGCTGAAAAAATGAGTGAGATCAAAAAGCAAACGAAAGAAAAAAGGATTAAGATCATTATCATTAACATCTAACAAGCATCATTAACATCTAATAAGTAGGATTGATGCTGTGGTAAACTGAGGAAATTGTAAGACGAAATCATCCTTTATCCGTATCATAGAATTTATGTCTCTCAAGTTATACCAAGATAACACTTTTGGAATGCAGCCAAGTTACCTTGAGATTTTTTATCTTGTCTTCAAACTATACTTAAGATTGAGGAGAGGTATTGTACAGGAATCGTCACAGCGTACGACCATCCGCCTTTTATCAACTAACTCGAATCTTACCACCTTTCAGTTAAAACCTTGAACCTCAAACAAATGACTCAATATAAACACTATTGTGCTTAATGTGTGTAAAAGATGAGTGAAACGTAAGTTTCACAGTATTTGTAATCTTCAACAATCATCGTTGTTGTTTTACATGTGCTTACTCTAAGAAAACTGTTGCTAGTCAATTGTTTTTCTTTCTTTCCCCTTTCTGTTTTTTCCGGTGTGGTACTTACACTCAACCATCTTATATGTCACTGGGTCATTTAGTTTGTCTTGATCAGCCGCAGTAACTTGGATGATGGACGTTCCCTGGTGAAAAGAAAACTATCTGTTAACAAATGAACAACATCTACGGTGGGACTCAAGTTGTACAGACGAACGATATGCGATCTGGTGTAAATACTTTATCAACCCTTGGATCTACCCGTTAGTTTTATCACGGCCAATATCTGCGGGCATTTCGTAACACAGCCACTACAGCTCAATAGAAAGAGACCACAACATCGCACTTGCAGCTTTGTCAACGACTAAATTCGTAGCTTCCTTGATGTGCACTGCTGCCGATATCAGTGAAGATTCAGGAGAACAAGGCCATGGTCTCAAGATTCATCCTTATCCGCGAAGCCTGGAAAATCTAACTTTGTACACATACTTCTGAAAATATTATATTTAGAAACAATGATACTTCTAGGCCCTGCTCTATTTCCCACGACTTTGCAAAATGTTTAAGTTAATTTATCGTTTGTTTTACAATGTAGTTTCTTCAGATAGAGATGGCCACGTTTCGACTGCATACTGCGAGTCTTCTGCAGGTGATAAATCTCGAGGCTTTAGCTGCTTGGATTGGTGCATTTCAAAAAGCACTAATAAAGAAGAGCTGTACGGCCGGTAGCAAACCGGGAACACAACAGCGAGATGGGTTACAGGAGCAGAATAACAGTGGATCATAATGCTTCTTAGTTTTAAGGTCGCAATGGTAAACCTCGTCCCCTGGAGACTGGTGAAGAGTCGCAGAATGCATGCAGTCGACTGATGCGACCACATCGGAAATTAATTCATCACAAAGCAAGTAATAGCACGAAATTCGTAACCATTTTGTTTCATCACAATGGATAACCATGACCTCTTCTCATCCTTTTCCTTACCACACTACGGTCCTCTCTTACGAATCCCCTGTACTCAAAGGAGGAGAATTTAGCAGGCAAATCGTCCTCATCTCCTACTGTTATTGACAGGATTGTCCAATTCGAGAAGCTCTCGTGATACTGTAAGTAAGAAAGAAATAAGAAAATCAAAGATCAATAGATCTTCTTATCTTAACTATTGCATAGCACATTTTAAAGTTCATTGACTCCATTGCTTATCAGCGACATGCAAAATGTAAAAGCTTCGGGTCCATTCTACAGAATTCTCTCAGGACATACAGTGAAACTGAAAAAAAAAAACTTTTGAGAGAAGATAATCGTTTATTTCCTAAAGGAATAAAAATTAAACATATTTATGGACACAGACATACAGACATATAGGCTGAGAGACAGAGAGACAGAGAGACGGGGAGACAAAAAGATACAGAGAGACAAAAAGATACAGAGAGACAGAGAGACAAAAAGATACAGAGAGACACAGAGACAAAAAGATACAGAGAGACAGACAAACAGACAAACAGACAGAGAGACAGACAAGCAGACAGAGAGAGAGACAAACAGACAAAGGGACAGACGAAAAGAAACAAAAGAGAGGTAGAAACACCAAGGCTGAATACGCAACGGAACGTTGAATACGTAAGATCATTAACAAGCCGAACTAACATTTGAGGCTGTGATATTGAGCTTGTATGAGGATCTTAACTCAAAGTCCAAAGCTTTTACCAACAGTACATCGCAGTGATAAGCATCCTTGATCTTAAACATTCCATCCTGATGAAAAACATTAAGTAAAAGAAACTCGTAAATATAACGATCTTCTAGTGTACATCTAGTTGAATACAGCTCCTACACTCTTTAATAACTTGATTGAATGTGATGGGTGACAGTGAAATATCAAATAGCAGTTACATCAGACTAACTTCATTTCCATCTGCTATTTCATAGAGAATTTCTGCATTCTCTCCAAAATCGTCATCCAAAGCTGTAGCAGAGAATATCTGTTGATCAACGTCACATGTCTGGAAAAATTCACAGAAAATAAATGAGATTTTAAATTCAAATGAATGGCGATATATGATAAAAAGAGATATTACTTATTAGATATTGCCAGGGAGAGGTCACCCCCTAATAAATATATAATGAAAAAAACCTCAAAACATGTTCCGGGATGTTTGTTGGAATTGAGCCGTAAAGGTATAGACAGTATCGAACAAATCCACAGTCGAAACTGCTATATTCGTTATTGCGCATGCATGCATTTCTGGACTAATCTCAGGTGACAGTACTATCAGGTGAAGACCTTGGGGATACAGGGACCCCAATCCAATATTTACCTCTTTAACAGTAATATTGTAGTGTTGGCTTGGAAAGCGCGGTGAATTGTCATTGATATCTTGAATCCAAAACCAAACTTGGGCTGAGGCCTATTTAAGGGTAAAAAAAAGAAATACAGACGTTTAAATACCTCTTACTAACCGAGTTTGAGTCCGTACTGTAAGTTAAGGACCGAAGTTTTTCAACTCGGATTTATGGCCAAAGTGCGAAGCACGCGGGCCATTAGTCCGAGCGAAAAAAGGTTTTATGCATAAAGGAGTGAGAAAACGAGATTGGCAAAATAATTATTGTAACTCAGGGTTCAAATTGAAAACCTGATGTTCACTTAGGTTATATTATTTCTCGACAGCGAACCAAAAACCATTGGAAAAAAAATATCACAGCATTATACCCTCCTGAACTAGAGACAATACCATAGCTAGTACTTTAGACTGAAGTTTCTTTCAAGCAAGAACAGACTTGTGGGAATTAATGTTCATACGTACCTTATTGCCAGCATCATCAAAGGCGTACACCATGAATGTATCTTGTGTGTAATTTTCAGCCTAATAATGATATAATAATGATACGATAACCTTTATAAATTAATTACTCCCTTTTTCTTATGTATACCGTCCAAACCTGGGGCTTGCTAAAATTAGTTGGTCTTTGACGTCTTTGATATCATCAAATTCTTCCAAGCAAACGTTGTACACAAACCTCTCTATCAAAGCGTCTTTCGATTGTTATTATGCCTGTCGTGTTGTCGATAGCAAAAAGGTTCCCAGCATCCGCACTGAGCTCATATCTTACTGGATCTGGATCTGCCCTTGCTCGAGCCACAAATGAACCTAAAAGCAGACGGTTCATATAGTGATATACGGCACTGGTTGTGTTGATACGTAAGGGGTGGAGAAGACAAATTTGATATGAGCGATTTAAATGTTTCAGCTCGAACTCGCGCTACCATCAGACTTCTCGCGGTTTCCGTGATAGTAATGGTCCTTTTCATCTAATAGATAAATTCGCAAGAAGTGTTTCCTCCCAGAACGAGGTCCAGGTTTGATAGAGTTCTTTTTGAGTGTCAAAATCGTATTTTCCTCCACTTCAGGAACTTCAGTGGTATTAGCTCGTGCGTTGAGATTACTTAGTATCTTATACGAAATCTGATTATGTTGCGGGCTAAAACCAACTATAACATCCGCAAGGCTTACTTGGAGGTGGATATCGAAAACTTTTCAATCAATGCAAACACTTCAAGACGAATGTGTTTGCAATATTAGAGCACTTTTCAAATAAGTGTCGAAACTAACCACGATTGCCTTGGTCTTTCTTCACTCCGCTCTGTGATTGGTCCGACAAACTCCTGCCACCTTCTTAAACCAATCAGATTCAAAACTAAAACAAATCGTGATTTGATCATTCGCAATTTCCCGCATTTTAAGCAGTTTGCCTGATTTTTTACTTTGAGTTTTCCTTAGCTAACGATGATATCAATCGTTGCTCCGGTCAGGCTGCTGTGATTTCAGTTAGTTTTGATTTTTCGAAACTCAGCTGAAAACTGCTCTAAGATTATTTGGCCTTCCTTTAGCCAACAAACAGATGACCTCACTGTGCGAGCACATTATTCTTTTGTCATTGCTTTAGAGGGGCTAAACAGGGACTTAATCAAGATGGCTTAAAACTATATTAATTGTTAAGAAGAAGTCAAAGTGATTGCCATAGGAAAGAGATGCCATAGGAAAGAAGGCATTTGAGGCGAGGAGGAAACATTAGGGAAACGACTGTTAGCGAACTAAACCACTAACCTGGCTGCTTCTCTTCGTTAATGGTGACGAAGATGAAATTTATCTGAAAATTTAGCCCTGCAAGTTAGAATGGAAACTTTAATTATTCCCCCCCAAAAAAAAAACCATGGGCGTGGCTTCAGCATTCTCGAAAGAAACTCACATAAAAACAAAAATTGAAAGAATGGAAAATGCACGGACAAAAATCACGCCATGGATCAGTAAAGAACTTCATTTACGGACGTGGCGAGTTGTAAGGGTCCAGTGGGAACAGTAGAGGAAGAAGTCGTTGATTATCAGCGACTAAAAGAGCACACTTTTGCGCGAACAAGTCAGGACTAGCAGGCACCGAAAAAAAAGGCAATTAAAGGATGATGGAATTTGTTTCCCTTGGCCTTCAGCCTTAAAATATATCTTGAAAGCTGAATCATAGGTGTGTTTCTGTTATACCGCAAATTAAGGAGGCAATACTTCCTGAATTGTGACCTCAAGCAAGCTGACAATTATCGCCGTCAGTTGTAACGAAAAAAAAAACTAACATGAGAGTCTATACATAGATGAGAGGACCGGAGACTAGTACAGTCAGGTACTTCATCATTTATACATCACTTTTCGTATTTTATTAACTCTTTAGAGGGCCACAGGTTTGTCAGCTATACAGCTGTTACGTGTCCCCCTCTATAAATAAAGTCCTTACTTACTTACTTACTTTAAATTCCAGAAGTGATTGACACGTAACTTCTCCCTATGATATCCATACATTATCCAGCAAGTAGGTAATGAGAAGTTAAGAATACTTAAACTTTTTAGGTGGAAATTGTAGTTTTAGATCTAACACCAAATTTCCGTAACTTATTTACGAGAAAATACGTAGCAGCTAGAGGGGAGAATTAACATTCGGATCTAAGAAGTTGAGGTACCATAATGGACCCCCAGTTCTGCCTCCTTTCCTTGGCTTTCGCATTTTCATCATTACGTGAGCGACAGAAGCGCATCAGTCTGTTACGTTCACTCCGTTTCTTACTACGATAGCAAAACTGTTTAAAAACTTTGCGAAATTTTCTTTTCAATCTATTCGAAAAATTGTTTTATTGACTTCATCGATGTAAAATCTTTTAATTGTTTTTCCCAAGTTCTTACATTTAGGAACGAATTGAATAGATGTAGCGGTTTGAATAAAGGCCGATTTGCCGCAAAATTTGCATTTGTGAATTTGCAACTAGTCCAAGATATACCACAATATTTTAATGACACCTGACGGTGTTCGCAATGATATCATAACAGTTCTTTATTTACATTTCAAGAAGAGAAATTATTCGTCAAGCGGAGCTCTAGGCTCTAAACTATTTATAGCTGATAGCCGTGTGAGGGTAATTTAACTTTTCAAAAGAAACGGCGTCTTAAAGAAACTTCGTTGTTCAACTGAAAATACGAAAAAAAAACCTACAAACTTCTCAGTTTAGCTTCTGTAATAAGGAAATACAAAAAATTTTCACCAAGGTTTGATTTCGTAAAAGTTAAGTCTTTGTCCAAAAGGAACGTGATAAATATTTGATGATTTCAAACCAACCACATTGAGATGACTCAACAAAGAACATAATGAGAATTGGGGTGAAGAAGAGCGTCCGTATCTTTCCTTTTGTGATCTCAGAGCGAGAAATAATATCTTTATCATTCCATAAAGAACATTCTCCAGCACTTTACTCGAAAGATTATCGAGTTTTTTAGACATCTCTCTTTTTTCCCGAATAATAACCTTTGACTCACAAAATTGTATGAGGAAGAAAGACGTAAATGGTGTAAACAATATTTAACTGGAAGTGACTAGCAGAAAAGTTCTACAGAATCTAAATTAAATGTGTTGCCTTGATGAAAATCATTTCTTAAAGCGATTCTGTCAAACAACTTGTCGAGTGCAAATCAAGTTTTGATTTGTAGGAATTTTCGGTGATGTTTCCACTGAAATTATATGAATTCTTAAGTATACTGAGAAAAATATATACAAATATGCAAAATTTTGGTTGTAATAAATTCTCGCCATAAGAGTTATCTGAGAAACATCTCTAGCTATGATAAAACGAAGTCTGATCAACCTGGCAATTTTCCTCATGAAGTCACTCTAAATGCATGCTAACCCGAATACTACCTAGGTTGAAAACCCAAGAAAACAAGTTATTTAAAGAAAAAAAAAATTTCAAATTATTTGAAAACTGGATAGACTTACCTTGGCAATAGTGGAAAGGCAAAAACATCATTGAAATTAACAGATTTGTTTCCATGATTGCGCATTCGTGAGGGTGACTTTTCTCTCCGTTACATGGTCCTCCTTTTGGTAAACATTCTATGTTTTTGTTTTCTTTCTTTTCTCAGAAATACCGTACCTTGATCTCCTGTCTAGAACTTATTCACATTGATTTCTTTTTTTCTTACTATGATCTCAAGAACACATTAGAAAAATACCTTCAAAGTTTGATTTACATCGAAATTTTCAAACAAGATACCTTTCAGGCTCGAACTAAACCTTGTGTCAGTTATGTATGATGTCTTAGATTAATTATTTAAAGAGTAATTATCCCGTTCAATAGCTCAGCATCAGTCTTTTAAAATTCATAGAAAAAGGACTTTGGGGTCTATCGCCCATCAAACTCTCGAGCGCGATTAGTCTGAAAGCAGTATTCGAATCAAATCTTTGGGAATATTCTGTGATAACCCCTTGTGATTTTCCCTCATTTTTTAAGCTTCGCATTCAAAATGGTGGAAGTCTTCCATCCAAATTTTTAGTCGAGATGCTAGAGCCTTTTGTTTTTTATTCAAAAGAGGAGATAAACTTCAGCTGTGTGTTTATTAAGTTCCACGACGAGCATTTTGAATAGTTGACATCTCTCTCTGTAAATCTGTTTAGACGGTAAGTTATCTGTGAGCATTTTTCCCGCACGCTTCACAATTCTTGAATAATAACTCAACACAACAGTACACATCATTTCTGCTGATGGTTGGGAGACAGAGTGAAAGTATTTCAATTTTCTACTGCGTTAGATTTTTAGATGAAAAGCTGATGACAGTCTGTGTTCTTCAATTTCTTCAACAGAGAATGTCACCAACCTTTCCATGCACAATCTCACGTCAGGGCAACTTCAGAATACTTTCATCTAGTTTGACACATTATATATGTCCCCAACCTTTAAAATACGCTCACAAACTTGCCCTGAAGCATCATCTGTTTCGTGAAGCTCACACATTTTCTAGAACTTCGCTGCTGGCACAGATAATACCAGCTGAAAAATATTCGGACATATTTGGTCCATACATATTTCTTTCTTTCTTTCTTTTCCAACAAACGGCATTTTCAGTCGCTTCGGAAACTGGTGAAAGGCATTTTTATCTTCAAAAAACGAACGAATGATCTCATATGCTATATGGCAAGATTCTCGTCGTCATGTTAGTCTTTAAAGGAACGCAAGGTGCTACGTAATCATGTAATTGTCAAATTTCATTTCGTAGTGACTTATAATCGCCTGTAATTATTGTGTATGCATTGCGGGCCTATTACCTTCTTGTGCCCAGTACCCTGAAAGTTCGAACGTCAAAGAGAAAATTCAAAATGTCGGTCAAGGGAAGCTAAACACTTATTAATGTCCGATTTTCTCGAAGAAAAGTCTGAAATGCCTCCGCGTATTTCTCCTGTGGATACTCCTCAAGGAGGAGAAAATTCTGATTCAGAAGAGGACGAACCAGTGGTACCAGCAATCATGGAAACCTCCAGTAGTGACGACGAGGACAATAATGATATCGATAGCGATGATCTTACTCAAGGCTATGTTCAACTGGCTCAGGATGATAATGACGGACTACAACCTGCAGAGCAATGGCTAGCCAACGTACGTAAACATTGAATTTGCCAGTAACTCTTTTCTTGCCTGGATTTTTGCCCGAGCAAACAGCTTGCAATTCGGAAAAGCCTGGGCTGACTCTTGTATGTCACGTCACTAGGGAATTTCATGAAGATTTTTCAGATGGAATCTTAATTTCACCTGCGAAGTTTTCGAATTTTCCTTTGTATTTTGACCCAAATTATTAACAATTAGGTCTTTACGAAAAGAAAGGAAACTACGAATCAACCAAGGAAAGGAAATCCAAGATACTGTTTGGTAGTTCAGTTTAAACAGGCTTAAATCAGGACAGCTTTTTGTTTGGTT